CAAAAATCTTCTCCACCGCTAACCCTAACCCTAAATTCCTCAAGACGCTCTCAATTTCGAGGAACGATGAGAAGGTTAGATCTACCGCTAGGGTTAGCGCGAGTTTAAAAGATTTTGATGGCAGGGTTTCTTCGGGTTGGGATCAGAACGTGAGGTTGTACGGATTGTCTTCGGCTCCAGTGAAGCAAGGATCGAAGCAGAGAAAGGAGAAAGAAGAGGAGAAGCAGAATTATTATGTGAATATGGGTTATGCGATTCGGACTCTCAGAGAGGACTTTCCCGACCTTTTCTATAGAGAGCTCGGTTTCGACATCTACAGGTTCGAATTTGATCCTCTCTCTATTCGCTTGTTTTACTGAATTATTGGATGATTCGTGATCAGTGCTCTTGCAGTTGCTGCTGAATTGATGCATAAATCTTAAGTACAATTGAGTTTTGATTGTATGTAATCAAGAGTAACCTCAGTCAGTCACTCTGAGGTGAATATACCATCTGTGTAAACTATCACTTCCATTCAGGATTATAGTTATAGGAGTCATGGGATTTGCTCATCCCGTTATGCATCATCCTTCTATCTGCGTTTTCGCCAGTCCTCTAAGACAATGATGCTTGTAATGAGAGTTTTTGATAGGGGTATATGAGTTTTTGCCATTGGGTAGGAAATTGATCCAAATCTACCTTGAAATGGCACCGTTTGCTGTCGGTTTTGGATGTTTAGAAGGCAGAGGTCATGAGTGGCTTGCAAAACATTTTCAAATGTTTGTGATTAAAAACGAAGAGCTATGAATCCTGTGGCTTTTTAACTCTATATTACCAACCTCTCCATTGGCCTGCCGGCTTGGCGTCTTTTGCGAAATGGTTAAGCCACAGGTCATGGGTTCGAGGTTGGTAAAAGCAAGGAGAAGCAAAAAAAATAATTGGCTTTCCCTGGAGCATTGCTTGTCACACTTGGCATGACACACTTTGGTGTTAACTATACGCTTTTTATGATTTGTTGGCAATATGGCAGGCGGTCTGAAAACCTATGGATTATACTAATATTATAGCTTTTTAAGTGTCCACATGTCAGGGAGGCTGAACTATGCTGCTGAGGCCTCATAATGATTTACATTAAAACATATGCATTTATGTCCTTTGTGTGAGGTCATGAGAGATAGATTTCCTCATTTTGTTCATGTTTAATATGTATGTACTGATTTGCTGCAGATATTTACTTTTAGCAGGGAGTATCATATACAATTCTACTTGAATATGCACCCTGATGCTTCCTCTTCTGTTTGTATTTGATAATTACTGACAAGTTTTTCTGCTGTACAGGGAAGATATCGTGTTTAAAGATCCTCTCAATACCTTTGTTGGCATTGAGAATTATAAGTCAATTTTCTGGGCACTGCGATTCCATGGCAGGATATTTTTCAAGGCTCTGTGGGTTGACATCATGAGCATATGGCAGCCTGTGGAGAATATCATAATGGTTCGCTGGACAGTCCATGGCATCCCTCGAGTCCCCTGGGAGAGCCATGGTCGTTTTGATGGCACTTCTGAGTACAAACTCGACAAGAATGGGAAGATCTTTGAGCACCGAGTTCACAACATTGCTCTTAATTCACCCCCAAAGTTCCACGTGCTAGCTGTCGAAGAAATATTCCAATCTGTTGGTTGCCCATCAACTCCTAAACCCACCTACTTCGAAATCTCACATTCTCCATCATCATCTTCGGAGAGAACTTAGTGTTGGTAAGGTTCTTTTCAAATTTTGGTTGAGCTCGGCTTCTTCGTGAACTGTGAACGTGTAGAAACTCTGTTTTAAGCGCGCACTCTCTGGTTTTGAGTCTGTTAACAAGCCTTTAGTAAGTATGTGCTCTGGTAACATCTGTGTAATTGAGCAGAATAACCCCAAACAATACTGTGTAAGAAATGTATAATTTTGTATAGCAAGAATTGGAGTAATAGTATATTAGTCTCTGTGCCCATATTTGTACTGTTTACTCCTTAGACGTGGGAAGTAATGAGTTTTTTAACCAATTAACTTTGTTAAATATTACAATGGAATTAGTTAAAAAATTCATTCCTCTCCTTAGACCAAACATACCTTTATAGTTTGTAGTAACTAATAAGAGTTTAGTTGAATTAGTATTTATTAACCAAAATATCTTAATTTAGATTTAAAATTAAAGATTTAAATGTCTACCATGCCAAGTAGTTAACTCTCAAATATACTAAAAAAAAAAACAAACATACCAATACCAGTTCACTCTTGTTTTCGGTGTGTTTTTGCAAGTGAAGAAGCTGAGGGTCTAAATTGTAAAAAAAATAAAGCTATGGGGCTGCAACTGCTGATAACAAAAAAGTTTGAGGTCTTACAGAGAAGTCCATCAGAAATTCAGAATCATGGAAAGAGGAAGACGGTTAGTTATTAAATGAACATCGGAAACCACCGATCCCGTCAACCACCACATTAAACGCACGGAATCTGCTCAAATACAACAGTACGCTCCAAATTCCGAGTCATTTTGCCTTCTCCTTCATCCATAAAAAATACACACTGCAAATCTCACTTCTCCAGAATTGCTTCTGCTTTACTTTTCCTTCTCTTCTTTCTCTCTCTCTCTCTCATGTTTGCTTACCATATTCCATCAAAATCTAACCATTATTACCGTCACATTATCCTTTGGATTGGATATTGGTCCTTCTAGTTTGTTGGAGCTGAGGAGATATGGAAGTGGAGCAATCCGGGCCTGATAATCGTCCGATGACCTTCGATGAGGTGTCCATGGAGCGGAGCATGAACTTCATAAAGGCATTGCAGGTTCGGTTTTTTTTTTTTTTTTTTCGTTTTGATTTTCTTTTACAAATGTGTTGATTTTTCGAATCAGATCTGGTATGTGTTTCAACTTTGATTGATTTTCTTTCTATGAGATAGCGATTTATGTTTTTCTAGAAATTCGGTTTTGATCTGTAGTTTACGGTTAGGATTGTTTGGTTGATGAGAAAATTGTAGAGAAAATAAGGAAGTGAAATTTATTCATACGGAAATAAAAATGGACGCGTAAACGATAGAGTTTGCTCTTTCGCTGTAAATTTGGGTATATTGGTATTTAAGTCTTGTTCAGCCTTTCTCTTTGAAGCAGTATATTGAACTTTTTGTCATTGTTAATATCTAGAAAAGCTGAAAGGAACTTTTCGTTGGATCAGTTTTGGGTCTTGATTGTTTGTCGGTTTCTTTTCTGCATCACTTTTTTCTACAGGAGCTGAAGAACTTGAGGCCTCAACTTTATTCTGCTGCAGAATACTGTGAAAAGTCGTATCTTCACAGTGAACAGAAACAGATGTAAGACAAAGTGAATTGCTTGGTTTGCCTTTACATGATTGAGTTTCATTAGCCTGGTTTTTTATGCCAACGTAATGTGTCATCTGTCTGCTCATAGTGTAAATTCCTTTTGACGTTGCCATTAGGGTACTTGACAACCTGAAGGATTATACCGTAAGAGCACTTGTTAATGCTGTTGATCACCTTGGCACTGTGGCTTACAAGTTAAATGATCTTCTTGAACAGCAAACCATGGATGTTTCTAACATGGAATTAAAGGTGTCTTGTATAGATCAGGTATCATCTTGCATTTTCCAGTCCTAGATACCAGTACAAAAACATTGTTGAGTTCTTGGCTTGAGTTCTTGGCGTGAACCTAATTTGGCTTATTCATTTAGAAACTTCTTACTTGCCGAGCATATGCGGACAAAGGAGGTCTGAAGCAGCAGGTCATGTTGGCAATCATTCCTAAGCATCATAAGCACTACATTTTACCAAGTAAGACTTTCTGGTTTTTGCATTTTCTAGAAGTGCTAGGTAATGGATGGGATTCCTTTAACTATACTCTTTGATCTCTCCTCTTCTTTTTTCATTGGTATTTACCTTTCTGTTTCCTTTAAAATTAGATTCTGTCAATAAGAAGGTACATTTTAGTCCAGTCATACAGACAGATGCTAGGCATACTTATTTTCATACCAGATCTCGTCTTCAGCCTTCAGGTATCAGGTTTATTATTTAGAATTCATTTTAATTTTAGTCATTTGATGTATTTATTTCAACATATATTTATCATAGTCAGAAAGTGAATGTTCTATTATTTGTTTATTTTTTAAACGTGTTACATATAGGTGGCCCTGCATCAAAAACTCTTTCTTGGCATTTAGCCTCCGAGACAAAGTCTACTCTGAAAGGAAGTACACAGAGTACAGCAAGGTTGGTGTGTAAATTGTTTTTAACCTACAACTTCAATGATGTACGATCATATTTCTCATCAATGTGCTGATATTTTTCTGGAGAAAAAGGTTATTGACATTACTAACTATTGCCATGCAGCATTGATAATCCAACAACTTCTGGGAAAACTTTGGAGGCTTTCCACTTGTTAGGTATGCATCTTAAAATGGTAACTCATTGTTAATTAAGAAGAAAAACTGCTAGTTCTGCTAATGATAACAGAACTTAACACTCTAAACGCTCTGGACTCTCAATCATGCAGAAAATGATGATAGTTTAAGTAGAACATCGTCAGTGGTCTCTGGCCCTGCATCTAGTGCGCTCATTCAGACATTTGGTGTAACACAGAAGGTAATGTCAAAGTCAACAAGAATAAATTTCTCTTTAAATTTTTTAAGGTAAATAGTTGGTGATTAGCAAGGATAATTGATTTGTCCTGGGGTGATGTTTGCTTGAGTTTTTTCCGTCATTCTTATTACCTTTCCTACTTCCCATTCAAATGATTATCTACAGGTTTTACTGATTGAAACTAATTATGGTAAATCCTAGTAGTAATTAGTATTTGAGGATAGTACTGGGGACTATGGAAGAACTTATATCTGAGTTTCAATTGACTACCTCTTTAACAATTTGGTATTGATAGTCTATAAAATAGTCATGACTTTCATGATTCTGCGATTTATTATTGAGTTTCCATCCCTAAAAGTAACCACTACATTGTAGGAAACTCATTTTAATAGTCACAAAGTAGGCAAGTTAGCTGTTGGAAAATTGACCATTTGAGAAACTGGTTTACTTGACAAATGTTCACGGCACTCATGAACTTGTATTTCATCAGTTAACACATATTCATTTGACAAATCATTCTAACTGACTTTTGGAGTGAAAACTAAATGGTTGAGGCCGTCATGCATGGATGCTTAAAGTGAAGTTCTACTTTGCAGGATCTATTGGAGGGTTCCAAACCCATTACAGCATCAAGGTCATTTGCTAATCCAAGGCGTGAGAATGTGCATCCCACTGTTAGAAACAAAAGCGTGCTATCAGCATTCTTTGTGAAACCAAAAACATCAAAGATGAAGGCTTGAAACAATGCATAAATCCTTGTCAAATCAAGCCAATGTCGCAAATGTGTTAATCATCCCCCTTAAAAGAGTTCCCTGTATCAATACTAGCTGTTTCCTATATTTTCGGACAAAAAAAGTAGATGTTTAATGTATCGGTAGTTAGTTAATCGAGATCCATTCTTTTCTACTTTAATCCTTTCATTTGACTTCTTAATGATGAGAAGTTTTTTGAACGAAATATATATATTTTTTTCTTATTTCGTTGCCTTTAATATTAATCAAACGATTGAGAATGATGATGTTAATTAGGTGTTATGGAGGGTTCAAATTTTTTTGGAATTAGTATGTTTGGTTTGAAGGAAATATTAACAATATAAATAAAAAGAGTCCATTTCTTAATTAACTTCCAAAACCCTCCATCCAAGCAATTCCTAATGAAAACAAAATACCATAATATTTCACAATTAATGCTCACAATCTTCTCTTGCCCTTCATCCGCCAGATTGCCTTCCTTAAATATTTACTTCAATTCTGGATTTATAGGCTGAATAATTTGGCAAATACCCCTATAATCAAATGAGAGCCTTGATTTCTACTCATCACCTTTCAAAAATTTTGAGCAAGATATAGTTGCCAAACATTGCTGTCTCCTCATCAAAACGGTTCATGGTGCCACTAGTTGCCACTCCACCATCTCCATCTTTGAGTGATGCCCAATGACTTCCAATAGTCAATTTACCATTCATTACATAAAAACACTGTCCTTTCCTCGAGGTAGATTATTGTCATCACGCCCTAACACCATGGCCAAACAACCATAATATAATTGGGGGAAGCTTCACCCTCGTCCCAAGATTACCTATTCTCGCGTCAAACCTCCTATAACACACACATACCTAAAATATTAAGAAATATTATAAACTTTCACAGACTCTAACTAAAATTAAAATAAAAAAAACGATAAAAATTCTCATATTAGTCACCACAGAAATAGCTATGTATGGAAAAGGATTGGCTAGCAAACACAAAGATTGACTCAAAAAAGAATGTAAGCAGAAGAAAAAGAAATAAAAGAAATAAATAGAGAATTGAAAGAAAAGGCTAAGGAAAGCCATAGCTATGGTAGAAGTAGAGGCTACATCTTTAAAAATGTTACAATTTAAATAGAGAGTATAAAATTGAATAGAGAAAGTATTCTGTTTTAGGGTTTAATATTTAAAGTTAAAAACAAAAAAGTATTTCACTATCAAAACTATAAAATACTATACTCTTAAAGTTACAGGTTTAATAATTTAGAAATTAAGAATTACAGGACTTAAAAATTAAGATTTAAAACTATCAACCCTAAAAGGAAAAAAAATAAAAAGATACAGGGAGCAATCGGTCCCGATCTCATTACCCTATTTATAAATATGGGAATTTAATCGGTTCACGCCTGTCGCCTGCAAAAGCTGCCCGGAGGATTCTTTAACGGATCCGATATCGAAACCGACCGCCAAATCACACTGACGATCCAATTTTCTTCGCTCACAATTGCAGTCTTTTCATGACTTCATCCTCGTTATAGCAACAATGTCATCGTTCTTGCAAAAGCGATCAACCCCCAATCCATTCACGAAGCCTTATGCACTATCCCCGCGCTTTTCATCAGCATTGCAGAGACCCATTTCGATCTTCACCCGTTCAGGCCTCATAATTCTGCTCTGTCTCGTGGTATTCCTGGGAGTGCTGCTTCCTTGGACGGGATTGCCCCAGTTCATGTTCCAAAACTCCGCCGCCTCCCTCTCGAAATGGCGCGACTACACGCTGGCAGAGGCGGTTTCGTTTGTCGCCAAGAATGGGACTGTCATCGTTTGTGCTGTGAGTCAGCCTTACTTGCCCTTTCTCAACAACTGGTTGATTAGTATTGCGAGACAGAAGCACCAAGAGAAGGTGCTGGTGATAGCTGAGGATTATGCTACCCTCTATAAGGTCAATGAGAAATGGCCTGGCCATGGCGTGCTTGTCCCGCCGGCACCGGATTCACAGACTGCCCATAAGTTTGGTTCCCAGGTGAAATTCCTGCCCTTCATACCTGGGTTTTATTTATCGTATGTTACAGTCAATTTTAGCTCAAGAAAGCTTCTCCATTGGCATTGCTATGCTATAGATATATGCTTGTTTTACCCTTTTTAGTAAATTATTCAACTTTTAACTCTTCTTAGCTGCTTAAAAAGTGTGTTAGCTTAAACTTTATCAACATGGTTATGTGAACATTTTGAGCCCTGCCATGTGAGTTGTTGTTGATCTGGTGAGCTTCATTCTGAACTTTGAGCTATCACTAATTTAAAATCTTGGTACATAAAGTTTAGGAGAAACTGGGTTGCATACTTTTTCAGTAATCATTGTAAATTTATTTTCATAGGGGTTCTTTAATTTTACATCTCGAAGGCCTCGGCATTTGCTGCACATTTTGGAGCTTGGGTATAATGTCATGTATAACGATGTTGATATGGTCTGGTTGGGAGATCCTTTTCCATATTTGGAAGGAAAGCATGATGTGTACTTCACAGATGACATGGCTGCGGTATGTATTCTGGCTTTGCTTTTAGCTTCTAAAAATATATTTGTTGTAAGTATAACTCTTTAATGTCTGTAAGTCAGAACACATGACACATAATGATGGATGTGTTTGTAAAATACGCCTTGACAAAATAAACCAGTCCTATGTTAGAACATACAGTTTTGAACACTTGAAAATGACTACAAAACTAAACTTCAATCAATATGGATACATGCCAGACTATCTTTTTGTTCCTCCTCCACCCCTTTCTTTTTTTAACAGTTGAAAAAGACTACAAAACTAAACTTCAATCATGCTGCCTATTTAGGACGTCTGAGTGCTGCCTCATGCTGTTGAGTGTGGCTTTTGCAACACTATCTAAAGTCTAAACTGTGGCCTATTGTGGGATTGGAGGCTGTGCTGTTTATCATATTGTTTCTCTTTTTGTCTTTTCAGTATGCACCTTGGATTAATTGTTGGTGATGATATTATCAGATTGCTCTTTACTTCCATGAGTCTTTTAATTTTGATCGTGTGCTTATAATTTTATTCATGGTCTTATTTGGTGTGCCAGGTGAAGCCTCTGAACCACTTCCATGATTTGCCTCCTCCAGGGAAGAAAGGGCGCACTTACATATGTAGTTGCATGATTTTCCTCCGCCCCACAGATGGAGCAAAACTAGTTATGAAGAAATGGATTGAGGAGCTTCGGGCCCAGCCATGGTCCAGAGCACAGAAAGCAAATGATCAACCTGCATTTAACTGGGCATTAAACAAAACTGTTGGACAGGTATATCTGCATACTGTAATAGCCTTGTTCACTTATTTATATAACCTTACTGCTTTAAACTAATTAATAATGTAAATTGGTAAAACTTGCCTTTAAGCGTTGATTCATTTACCCCCCTTTGTAGACACTAGACAATGGTGTGCTCAAATTCTGAGTGCAATATTTCAAAAGGCCTTGTTATGTATGTCCTCTTTTGATTGCATGTCTATGATATTTCTGCAGGTGGACCTCTACCTGCTACCGCAGGCGGCATTTCCAACAGGAGGATTGTACTTCAAGAACCAAACTTGGGTGCAGGAAACTAAGGGGATGCACATCATAATCCATAATAATTATATCACAGGTTTTGAGAAGAAGATCAAGCGTTTCCGTGAATTTGGCCTCTGGTTGGTGGATGATCATGTCCTTGAATCTCCACTGGGCAAACTATGATAAGTTGTAGCTCAGAAGACCTTACTATCTTCTGCTGCAGAGCCAATCACAGCATTGTTAACCCTCGGATGAACTGCAGCTTGCCTGTTTACATCGCCTTTTTTTTTTCATTTACTCTCACGTTATCATGCATATAAACATGGAGCATTAGAAGCCAATGGTGCAGCAGACTCTTTAACAGCTTTCTTCCTTTTCAACAAGGTTTAATCGGGCACTTGCTGTTGAATGTTGAACGGGACTGCAAACGCATCTGAGTGCAACAGTTAAACAAAGTTCACAATATTCAAATATCTTTTCCAAGAATCAAAAAATATGAGAAACATAGATTCTTCTGTTGTATAAACTGCCTCATTTATTTATTCAATTTATTTGCAAGGTTCTGAATACATAATCTTTTTTCATAACTGGAATCACCTTTGGAAAAAATAAATAAATATATATATATGGAATGGTAAAAATTCAAAATGATTCATGCGTTTGCCGGGAGTCGAACCCGGGTCTATTGCTTGGAAGGCAATTATCCTAACCGTTGGACTACAAACGCTAGTTGGCAGCTTTAGCAAATATTTGAAATAAAAAAGTACATTGAGAGCGGCAATACGACGCACACTGCTAATATGTACCGTCTGTTCTGTCCACAGTAAATATACGAAATTTTTACTTTTAACTTGTAAGGCTAGCATAAATGCGTGCAACCCCCAAACTAAATGTACATTGTACTTTTCTTTTTTTCTTTGATTATTGGTTGTATTATAGAAAACAATTTACTCCTAATGCCTTCTCACTCCATTTGCATATTTACATTACAATTTGAATTTAAATTTAGTTTTTAATAAAAATAAAAATTTTAAATTTAAATTTAAATGAGAAGCCTATGGTGGCCCAAGTGGTCATCACAATATTGTTAGAGGCTTCTCACCTAAGGGTGTGGGTTCAATCCCTACCCCTTTCCCTTCCTCCTTCCCCAAATTACCTATGTTCAAAAAAAAAATTTTTTTAATTTAAATTTAAATAATATATAAAATAAATAAAAAATAAAAATATTATTTTTTATTATATAATTTAAAATTAAAAAATATCTTTTATTTTACTTAAAAAATTATTATGAAATTACCTAAATTCACTAAATTATCTTAATTTATTAACCATTAAAATGGTGAGAAGCTTACATTGGAAAATGGTCATTATTCCCACTTGCCTAACCACCTCCCCTTATTTTATATTTTCTTTTCAGAATCTCCCTTACGTTTCTGTATTTTCTAATACCAACACCTCCCTTGCAATAATCAACATGGAACAATGTTCTCTGACATCATCCCCATTTTATTTAACATAACCAAGCCATGTTCACTCGCTCCCTCAATTATTTTCAGATCTAAACGCTTTAATTTCTTAAGCAGTTTGACTGAAGCTAAGGTGAATCAAATTATTTACAGAGAGACTTTTCTCTTGAACAATTAGGGTGTCTCTTTTCTCATATGATTTTAAAAACCCATTTTTAGATTAATTTAATATATTTTAAAAAAATTAATTTTTTTAATATTAACGTATATGATATAGAATTTACTTAGAAATATCTTAATTATTAAGACTTTTTTTTTTTTGAACAATTTGACTTGGGACGAAATAAAACTTGTTTAATATGGTTAATGTTACTAGACCCGAAGGACCAAGTATTAATTATTAAGACTTTGTTTATTATAGTTTTGGTTTGAATTTTTAATTTTGATTTTTATAAATTTTAAAATTCCAAATATAAAATTTGTTTTTTTTCATGTATTTTTATAATATATTATTATAATTACTAGAAAAATAAGAAAAAAAATAGTTTTAT